ACAATGAGGGATAACTATTTTGTGCTTTGTTCCATACACTTCAGCAACGTCACCTATTGTTGCAATTGAAGATAGGCTTAGCTACACTATTCCGAATGCTCTGAATTTTATGTGGTAGGTTGCTAGAACTGCACATGTGTGCCCTACAAAAAAATAGCTCATTCCAACAAGGAGAGATTGTCAAATTGTGTTTTGTTCCACATACCAGACTCAAACTTCAGCAACGTCGCCTGTTCTTGCAATTGTAAACATACTAAGCTACACTGGTCCGAACGCTCCGAATCTTATATGGTAGGTTGCTCGTACCACATATATGTGTCCCACATGAAATGGCATCATTCAGAAAAGGAGAGATGATTTTTTCTTACTTTGGCCCATAAATTAGCCTCATATTACAGCATCGGTGACAAATTTTTGCATGTGCGTCGGAAAAACCAAGCTATATTCTCCAAAATTTTAGAAGTTTTTAAAGAAGTCTATTATCACTATAACTTTAGAGCAATCCAAAATTTTGAGACATGCGTTTACGGATTGCGAAACATATGAGAAACTAAAAAAAGGATGGATGATCAGATCTTAAATTGTTAAGATATCTGCTATGGTAATGCTATTCAATATGTTTTTGTAATGTAGAGAGAATCGGTCATGAAACCCATCCCTAGTCAATTATTTGATCTTAGAGTATGATTTAACGTCTATTTGTAACCATATGTGTTAGTATTTTCAGCTCTGTGTAGAGGGTCTCGGATGTATGTGTCATTGTTTATGGAACGACTCTAACTCGAAGAATGTGTAATTTGCTGTTTGTGACCACTGCATCGATATACTACTTGATTTGTCGAGCTGGCGAATTGTGCGCCTAGTAACGCGGCGCGCCCGTGCAACAAGTGGAGCTTTACTTTGCCGCATCAAATTTCTGCAGCCAATCACGTTCCCAACATGATTCTAGCATGACTTTTCCAGCCAATGAACCTCGCTTGTGTCACGTTCGCCAGCACATTACTTGCTACTCCAAGATACCTTCGCCACCTTCGAGAACCTGCCTCATCCAGCTTATCTGGGATGCAATGGTGGCATGTGTGGTGGAGAGCTAATTTTCATTTCGAAACTTTTCCTACCTCCTGACCGTTCGGCATTGGAGTGTGAGATGCAATTGTCAGGACTCAAATGTTACGGAGATTTTCTAAGTTGTTTCTGTTTTTTGTGCCCGATTTGTTTGTTTCTCACGCCAGAAATGCCAACTCGACTTCACCCTGCCCCGCCCATTTCTCGAAACGCCAGCTCGACCTCACCCTCCCTCGCCCATTTCTTGAAACACTTCACTCTCCCTCGCTCATTTCTCCAGTACTCCTTCCCCCATTCGCACTTCCTCCCACACATCTTAGTGCTCGCTGCGTGTGTCTGCTTTCTTGTCAGAAAGGCAGCGCGGCCCTGCTGCTTATGTTTTCTTGCTCTCGTCTATCAGCGCGCCCCTGCTCTAGCCCCGTCAAACCCACGTACTACTGCGCTTCCTTCTAAGCATTTTCGACTTCCGTTGGGATGCCTTTCAATAGCTCGTGTAAGTTAATCCTCGCCATTTTCAGACTTCAGTAATTGCGAAGTTTCCCCGTTTCCACCTGTTACGTTTTTGCTTTTGTACAGGTCGTTTGCAAACCTTGCTGAACGCCTTGCAACGGAAAAACCCCAGGTGCTAGGCGTGGCGGTGCGGACAGCGTTCAGCCGCTCCCTCAAAACGTTTTTCTGGTAAGAATCCATTCACGCTAGTCATCTCAGTAACAACAGTTATGTCTTTGTTCCTGTTTTTTTTTTTTCCTTCGCCTCTTGGATGTTTGCAGGTCGCGTATGATTTGTGAAGAACAACCTGTTGATGCGAAACGAATTCTTAAGCATGGGGTCGTTTGTCCCCAGGTTGTCAGCGACATTGAAGATTTTGGCAAAAGTGTCAAACCTGTACGTAGATGATTTCAGCTACTGCCAGCGCTTGCTTTATGTTCTGTTGTGCAAGAACTGATGAATCCGGCTAGATAAAGGCAGGCGGCTATAATGTAGTTTTTGGATAGTTAAATGGTGATTGTTTAGAGTTAGCTTATATAAACCTGCTACTTGCCTGTATTTTGTCAGTCGATTTTAAAAAGCGCTTCTAGCAATGACAACAAAGATTCGGAGTTCATGTGATAACAGAATGTTAAGTGTGAAATATACACAAACCTTCAGGAATCTGAAACGCTAGGATTTGAGACAATTCTGAACTAATATTTGTAACCGGTTACCCAGTTATTATCGTTGTAGTATTATATGCATTAACGCAATTATATACATAAGCGCAATTTCACAAAATGGACCTTGTAACGAAAACATGTTACCTTGTTGAGGCTAGTTATAGGATTCGGTTACAAATAACGTGCCATATTTCTTATACGGGTTTACCTGCCGAATCAATTTAGTTTTTATCGGCAATATACGACAACATGATTGGTTCGCGTCATGGTAGCACAACGAATACGCGCAGGCCACGTCAGAACCGAACTGAAAAACACACTCATAGTTACGGGAAAGTAGCTTTGGCATATCTGAGATGTGCGGCTGGATGTTTCAAACCAGAATAGGCCAATCAGTTTGACTTTCAATCAACACAATCAGCGAGTGCACACGAGACACGTGGTAGTGTAGTCACTTAGCTACGACAGAGCTGCTGTGGTCGCTGTCGAGATGTGCGGCCGCGATTTGTCGCATCAATTCGCGTTAGATTGGGGTCGAACTCAAAGCTACGACAAAGCAACAATTCTACCCTCTCCGAAGCATGTGTCAAAGAGGGTACGCAATTGCTGCTTTGCTGCAGGTTTCCCGTAACTTCTAGGGACCCTGTTTTTTCCTATGTCACGCGCTGCACGCCTCACGTGCTGCTCGCCTCACACGCTGCTCGTCTCACGCGCTGCTCGCCTCACAAGCCACTTCGTTCGTCAAGACGTCTCGCTTTCATCGGGACCGCCTTCTCTCGTTCGTCCCTCTCATTTCCCCCCTTTTCCCCCTCATTTCCCCCCTTTTTCCTCTCATTTCCCGACCTGCTCCCCCTCATTTCCCCCCCTTTCTCCCTCTTATTACCCTCCCTTCTCCCCCTAATTTCCCCCCTTCTCCCCCTCATTTCCCCCCCTTCTCCCTCTCATTTCCCCCCCCTTCTTTCTCTCATTTCCCCCCCTTCTCCCCCTCATTTCCCCCTTTCTCCCCCTCATCCCCCCCTTTCTCCCTCTCGAATTCCCCCCGACTCGCTCTGAAATCCCCTTCTTATCCCTCTCATCTCCCCCCCCTTCGCCCCCTCATTCCCCCCCATTCTCGCCCTCATTCCTCCCCCTTCTCCCCCTCATTTCCCCTTCTCCCTCTCATTTCCTGACCTGCTCCCCCTCATTTCCTCCCTTCTCTCTCTCATTTCCCCCCTTTCTCCCTCTTACTACCCTCCCTTCTCCCCTCATTCCCCCCCTTCTCCCCCTCATTTCCCCCCCTCATTTCTCTCCCTTCTTCCCCTCATTTCCCCCTTTCTCCCTCTCAAATTCCCCCCCACTCGCTCTCAAATCCCCCTCTTATCCCTCTCATCCTCCCCCTTCTCGCCCTCATTTCCCCCCTTCTCCCTCTCATTTCCCCAACTGCTCCCCTTCATTTCCCCCCCTACTACCTCTCACTTCCACCCTTGCTCCCTCTCATTTCCCCCCTTGCTCCCTCTCAGCTCCCCCCCTTCTCACCATCATTCCCCCTCGTGCTCCCTCTCATTTCCTCCCCTTCTCCCCACATATCCCCCCTTCTCGCTCTCAAATCCTCCCCTCATCCCTCTCATCCCCTCCCCCCTTCTCTCTCTCATTTCCCCTCCTTCTCCCCCTCATTTCCCCCCTTCTCAACTCTCCTTTCCCCCCTTGCTCCATCTCATTTCCCCCCATTACCCCTCTCAAATCCCCCCCTTCTCGCTCTCAAATCCCCCTTTTCTCCCTCTCATCCCCCCCCTCTTCTCCCTCTCATTTCCCCCCTTGCTCCCTCTCAGCCCCCCCCCCCCCTTTTCGCCCTCAGTTCTCCCCCTGCTCCCCCTCACTTACCCCCTTTCTCCCTCTCACTTCGCCCCCTTCCCACCCTCATTCCCGCCCTTCTCCCTATCATTCCCCCCTACTCCCTCTCATTTCCCCCTTGCTCACCATCATTTCCCCCCTTCTCCCTCCCAGTTCCCCTGCTTCCCTCTCATTTCCCCCCTTCACCCGTTCAAATTCCCCCCTTCTCCCCTTCTTCCCCCTCCTTGCTCCCCCTCCTTACAGGGTGGTTCCGTTGTTCGTGATGGCCCCCACTCCCTCCTTTCCATTCTCCCTTCCACGCTCTCCCATCTCCATGCCCACCTTCCGATGCCCACACCCATCCCCACCCCTCTCATGCCCACCCTTTCCTTGCTCCGTACCAGTTTTTTCGGCTCAGACACAAATGCGGCCACTCGTGCACCTCTCTCTTTGCGCCTGCTTCTTCTGTCCCTGCCCCTACTGTCGCTGCTGCTGCCATTTCCGGAGCTGCCCTTGCTGCCTCTGCCAGTGTTCCTTCCTCGGGCACGAGACCCCCACAACCACAACCTACTTCCCCCCTTCCACGAGGACTACAACTGCCGCAACAGTGCCATCACACAGTGGAGCTACCCGAACATTGTGTGTTGTCGAGCTCGCTTTGCCGTACGATATTAGGAACTTTTATGAGTTTCATTGGCCATTTAGGTATCTGCACTTCAACAAGTTTAGTGTAACGATTTCTCATTTCCCATTACACTAAATACATATAATAGAATTGTTTGGAAACCCATTTTCCGGAGTAGAAGCTGGGGACGTCAATAGAGGATGCCCACGATGCAGAGAACGATGAGAAGGGAACGGGAGCGCCAGGATGGGGTGGATTGGGTGTGAACGTCACGCAAATGAGATTGGCAGTACAGGGAGGAGGACATTAGGGGGAATGCATACGATTCAACACACCCTTTAGCTGTCTTATTGCCGGGGTGGGAGGGACTGAAAGAGGATCGAAGGGGCTGGAAGGGGATGGGATGGGAGGGGTTGGAAGGGGATGGGATGGGAGAGGCTGGAAGGGGATGGGAGAGGCTGGAAGGGGATGGGATGAGAGGGGTTGGAAGGGGATGGGATGGGGAGGCGGGAAGGGGAAATGAGGAGGCGGGAAGGGGAAATGGGGAGGGGGAAATGAGGAGGCGGGAAGGGGAAATGGGGAGGGGGAAATGAGGAGGCGAGAAGGGGAAATGGGGAGGCGGGAAGGGGAAATGTGGAGGCGGGAAGGGGAAATGGGGAGGGGAAAATAAGGAGGCGGGAAGGGGAAATGGGGGGGCGGGAAGGGGAATGGGGAGGGGGAAATGAGGAGGCTGGAAGGGGGAATGGGGAGGCGGGAAGGGGAAATGGGGAAGGGGAAATGAGGAGGCGGGAAGGGGAAATGGGAGGGGAGAATGAGGAGGCGGGAAGGGGAAATGAGGAGGGGGGAATGAGGAGGCGGGAAGGGGAAATGGGGAGGGGGAAATGAGGAGGCGGGAAGGGGAAATGGGAGGGGAGAATGAGGAGGCGGGAAGGGGAAATGAGGAGGGGGGAATGAGGAGGCGGGAAGGGGAAATGGGGAGGCGGGAAGGGGAAATGGGGAGGGGGAAATGGGGAGGCGGGAAGTGGAAATGTGGAGGCGGGAAGGGGAAGTGGGGAGGGGGAAATGAGGAGGCGGGAAGGGGAAATGGGGAGGCGGGAAGGGGAAATGTGGAGGCGGGAAGGGGAAATGGGGAGGGGGAAATAAGGAGGCGGGAAGGGGAAATGGGGAGGCGGGAAGGGGAAATGGGGAGGGGGAAATGAGGAGGCTGGAAGGGGGAATGGGGAGGCGGGAAGGGGAAATGGGGAAGGGGAAATGAGGAGGCGGGAAGGGGAAATGGGAGGGGAGAATGAGGAGGCGGGAAGGGGAAATGAGGAGGGGGGAATGAGGAGGCGGGAAGGGGAAATGGGGAGGCGGGAAGGGGAAATGGGGAGGGGGAAATGAGGAGGCGGGAAGGGGAAATGGGAGGGGAGAATGAGGAGGCGGGAAGGGGAAATGAGGAGGGGGGAATGAGGAGGCGGGAAGGGGAAATGGGGAGGCGGGAAGGGGAAATGGGGAGGGGGAAATGAGGAGGCTGGAAGGGGAAATGGGGAGGCAGGAAGGGGAAACGGGGAGGCGGGAAGGGGAAATGGGAAGGCGGGAAGGGGAAATGGTGAGGGGGAAATGAGGAGGCGGAAAGGGGAAATGGGGAAGCGGGAAGGGGAAATAGGGAGGGGGAAATGAGGAGGCGTGAAGGGGAAATGTGGAGGCGGGAAGGGGAAATGGGGAGGGGGAAATAAGGAGGCGGGAAGGGGAAATGGGGAGGCGGGAAGGGGAAATGGGGAGGCGGGAAGGGGAAATGGGGAGGCGGGAAGGGGAAATGTGGAGGCTGGAAGGGGAAATGGGAAGGCGGGAAGGGAAAATGGGGAGGGGGAAATGAGGAGGCGGGAAGGGGAAATGGGGAGGCGGGAAGGGAAAATGGGAAGCGAGAAGGAGAAATGGGGAAGGCAAGGGGAGATGGGGAAGGCAAGGGGGAATGAGGAAGGCGGGAGGCAAGAAACTGCGGCTGTCGTGGCTTGCGGAAACGGGGTAAGAAGGCTGTGCGAGGGGGAGGCAACTGTAATCGTGCGAGATCTCGCTGTTCGGCAGTTTCAGACGCGGCGTGCTCGTTCAAGGTGGTGTGAGGAGGCAGCGAGGTGAGGCGACGCGACGCCGCAATGGACAATGAGGCGAGGCTATAAGAGGAGGTCCGTTGTGATCGGCTCCGCGAGGTGACTAGCGCCGGCTATGCCACAAACAGCGGTTTGATGCGGCCTGACGAGAGTGGTAGGTGGAGGGATGCCGCGTTTGAAAGCTAGCGGGCGCAGCTAGCGCTGTTTCAATGTCGAACGCGTGTGATGCGGGAGAGGCGAGTGTGAGAGGGCGGAACTGGCGTTGGTGCGGACGCGTATTGACTCCATACTTCTAGTCGCGTCGCCGTTTGTATCGGAAACGGGGTTCGTTTGCGCTGCTTGTTGAATCACGAAGTGCTTATCTACGTAGTTTTCGGCCTATCATGCGTAGTGGCCTAGTTCTCGGAAACATGGTAATTTGTATAATTTTGTTGTTTCAAAAGTTTTGAACCAGCAGTCAGAGGAGATGGTGCGGGGTGTGGGGGGGATCATCTCCCTTGTGGGACGAGGGAAACGAGTTGTAATACAGTAACCAGCTTTCAAATTTCAAAACTTCTGAAACTCCCACTTGCAAATGTATACAAAACCTTTAAACCACGGGTGACCCAGTTTCTTACAATACCAGCACTTGCCCTCCATTCTCCCGGGTCCCCTTCTTCCCCCCTCTGCCGCCTCGGCTTCCACCACGTCCTGATCCTCTGCCACCTTGCTGGTTTGAGGGCTCCACCTCCTTAGACGCTCCTCTCCCAGTCCCTTGCCATTTCTTGCCTCTGCCCCTCTTTCCTCCTTGCATGGCGTAGCTTCAGCTCCTCTGCAGCCACAGCATTGCACTCCCCCTCGGATCCACCCTCCTTGCCCCATGACATCATAGGAATCTGCCACATCGACTTGCAGATGTCACGGCTCTCGTGAAGGTCCCACAACACCCACTTTCCCAGCTGCCCTATGAACGTCTTGGCACCGTCGGTGGTGGTGCTGACCCTGCATTTGCCTAGCTTCCTGAGGGAGACGAGGTAAGCTTTGAGATCAGGGACTAGAAGCAAATCGCTAAGCACCACAAGTTTACCATCGGCTCCCTTGAATGCAGCACGTCCCACCCCCGTCTCCCTTGAATGCAGCACGTCCCACCCTCGTCACCTTGAGAGCGTGCCCGGACGCCGACTTCACCTCCATGATTGGTGCAGTCCCCATTTTGTCAAGGAGCTCGGCCCTTGGAGCCATGGTCCATGCCGCTCCCGAATCCAGGATCCACATGTTGAGCGGGTGCAGTGCAGCTCCAGCATGGGCGACCACTGCGTCCTAATCCGGCTCTCCAACGCGGAAGAACTGTCCAGCTTCCCTCTCCTCTTGTTCAGCCGGTTCATCATCGGCGACTGCTCCAGCGCCGCTCCCATCTTGAGACCTGTTGTAGGGGGTCCACCGGGTGGGTTTGGTCCTGCACTTAACCATGAGTGACCCACTTTCTCACAATACCAGCACTTGCCCTCTATTCTCCCGGGTCCCCTTCCTCCCCCTCTGCCACCTCGGCTTCCACTACGTCTTGCTCCTCTACCACCTTTCTGGTTTGAGGGCTCCTCCTCCTTGAGTTGGCGCCTCCGGAAGTCCTCCTCGAGAATCTTGGTGCGCATCCACTCCAAGGTCCAGGAGCTCTGGTTTTGAGGAAGACTTAGGCCACTTGTGAATATCATCCATGATTCCACCAGCAATGATAGCATCTTCATACACTTGATTTGTTCGGGGTAAACAATTCCAGCAATGGCGAGCTTGGCGTAGAGGTCTCTCATCTTGTCAAGGACGGGTTGAACAGGTTCTCCTTCACTGTGGCGAAGGGTGGAGAGCTCCCTCTCTAGCATGAGGGTAGCTACAACTGATGTGGGGGCATGCAGATCCTCAAGCACTCTCCACGCCTTGGGTCCACACTCTTCTTCCGGGAGGAGGTGCATGATGTGTTGGCGTTGGGTGAGATCCAAATTTTGAGACAGGATTTAGTTCCCGGTGGATGAGCGCTCGTCCCACTCGTTCTGCAGCTCCGGGGTGCTGGGTCATTTCTCGGTGCCTATAATCAGCTTTAGAAGGCCTATCTGCCAAAAGTACAGCTTCATCTTCCAGGACCAGTCGTCATAGCCCTCTCGACTGAACTTGTCGACTGAGAAGTTCTTCAGCACTTCCCTTAGTAGTGGGCCCTGGTTCGTCCGGACTGTCCTAGGCGCGGAGACACAAGATTCCTGGCTGCCACTTCTCGCGGGGACTGAGTTCCCTTCTTCTCTAGGCGACCCCATCGATGGATACGTTCAAAAGGATGAAGTATCAGCTCTGATACCACGTGTTGAGTCTAAGTACTATGCGGAAGCGATTAACTCAAGCCCACAAACATAAACTAGGCAACACTTAACATCACTTGTGACCCTCCGAATATGACTGCATGTCACCTCATAGCCAAGGGCGTAAGAAAACAAGTGAGTAGTTATGCCAAGCTTGTAGCGTGAGAATTCAGGTCGAGCAGAGTTTCGGCAACACCACGTTGCGTTTCTACTCTCGTCAATACGTAGTAGTAGAATATGCACTAGTGAAAAGTCATAGAAGAATTGTTGTCTTGAAAGCAAATACAAGCATACATATATGAGAGGTACTAGGCACACAAAAGAAACACAGAAGGTAGTTCTCTAACTGTCATCCAAGTCTTCGCTTTGCTGTCATTGAAAAACGGTTGTAAAGCTGCCTCAGAATTTGGCTTGATTTGCTTCTGTAGAATAACCGTCTTCAACCTGCACTGCTGCCAAATTCTCCTGCCGACTCTCCTCGCAAACATTCATGTTTACTCGTGTGCGATCATGAACGCTCGTGCAAGATCCCTGTTTTTCAGTTACGGACTTACCGTTTTGTACTAGGACTGTCGATTCAAGGCCATATGGCCTTAATGCCCTGAACATTAAGGTCTGACTTTGCTCCAGGGTCCGAATTCTCTGGGTTGACTTTGGTCAAGTGTTGGCCTGGAACCAATCGACAGCCTTGTTTTGTACCCCTGTCGAAATAATGACGCAAAGACGCGCGAATTTCTGGCGAAATTTCCTGCTCGCCGAGCCAGCGCGAAAAATCTGTTAGTCAACCACGAAATCTCGCATGCCCCATGTGCCCCACGTGCCCCTCATCACACCGAGATATTTCTCGGTCGTGCAGGACAAGACGATCGCTGACGCGATCGTGCGTTGTCCTCCTGCGCGTGACGGAGCGATCAGATCGCTCCGTCTTGTATCGATCGTGCACACGGTGCGATCGAAACAGTAGCGACACACGTGTGGGCCCTGCGGGGCCACACGCGCATGTCAGGACCCCACGCGCGGGTCCTGACTTCGCGCACTTTTCGGTTGACCAGCACGAGGTGGTCAACGGGGCCGGTCAAAGAATCAAGCCCCACACTAAACACACTCGACATTCACAACCAGCACTCATGAAGTGACTTGAACTTTCATGAAACACAGAACTTTCATCAACGCACATGTTCGGCCATGAAAGAACATGAACGTGCATGAGCCGTCATCAACGAACATGACTCGTCCTGATCCGTCATGACCCGTCATGACCGATCATGATCCCACAGCAACAACACATGAAACGAAATGCGAAAACAAACGCACAGAAAATGCGTTACGTCATGCAGGCGGCTGGTTGCAGTGCAAAAAAAAGTAATCTCAATATTTACAATCAAATCAATGTTGGTATGTATGAACTATGAATATCTGTGAGTGTTTTTTTTAATTATTATTAACTTCCAATCACTTTTCTCCCATAGGATATTGACCAATTTACTGGGGTCGGAGCTGTACACTGCTTTTGAGAGTCTCTGCCATTTTCTTTCGGAAGGATCTTGGGGTATGTGCAACATTCTATCTGTCCTATCCTGTTTACATCTTCGCTTTGTTGTGCTCTCCAACTCAACTACATTGTCTTATGACAACGGATGCTGTTTGTAATCATTCAGCTAGTTGATCAAATTCAGGATGGTTATCAAATATATCGGGCTTCCTAATGCTAGTTGCCTGTATTGTATAGGTGATTGATATGAAACATTCATAAACTTTTTTGTTTATTGTTTTCCATCTTACAGGTTTTTCAAAGCTGATTCTCGGTTTCATTTGGCACATCATTTCTAAAAGAGTGTGGTTGCTTTAAGAAAGATCAGGTGTGCACCAAATGTGTCTTATTATTTCTGTATGAATTCTCGCACTTGATTATTATTTACATCATTTTCCATTGAAATAAGTTCTTTAATGCTTCATATTTTGATAGGTTTAGATCATTCATGCTTCTTATTTTGATAGGTCGTTTCTTTCTAAGGAAAATACTGATTGAATTTTTTTGTATTTACACATTAAGATCCTTTTGTTTGTTTTGTCTATAACTATATTTATTAGCCTTTTGTAACATTTAACCTCAATTTTTTTTTATGCTATCCCCACCTTCCCCCCCCCCCCCCCCCCAACAGAAACCTCCACAAGAACCTTGACAAGCTTTACAAATTGCATTGGCTGTCGAAAGATCAGTGTTTGTTTCACAAAAACTTCGGTATATACTGTTTTGAGTATTTTTTGTCTTACGTCTTCAAGTGGCCTTGGTGTTATATACACAGTAGGCTTCAATGTGCCTAAAACGAAAGATAGAGTGCACAGTCGGATTTCGGCACAGCGGCTTTAAACGTTCATAGCGTTCTGGTCACTGCTTCAAATGACCTGATTCAACTTGGATCTGGAGCGTTTTGAAGTCACCTACAATAGGCAATTTAGATCGCACGATTTCACCAAGTATTGACGGCACAGCGTCGGTTTGAACGAACGGCACTATGGCAGCCACTATAGTCTTAGAACACAAGATAGGAAGAGTTAGGAAGAGTTACGAGTTGGGAATGACTCCCAGCTCCTACAAACCCCAAGAGCCGAGGTACAGTGATGTGGAACAGTGCCAGACTGTCCCCAACCACGAAGGGTCTCGAAACTACCCTTCACTAGGGCCTACACCAAGTGAAATGTTACACTACACAAAGTAATGTAACTATCTTCAATTTCTTGAGGTGTACCCTTTTGGCGAGCTTCGCGATCACTTGAATGTTGACACCAGGGCTCGGTTTCTTCATCACAAACTCATCCTTGAGTTCTTGATGGGTCTGCTGCACACACCTGCGACACGCCGAACGTTCGACAAGCGACAAAATAGAAACCGCGCACGACAAAATAGAAACTGCGCGGGACACACAAAATGACCGCGTAACACGCGACTAGCGATAACTCGCTATTGACTTGACACACACACTCGACATCATGACCCATCATTCACACACTATTATAAGCATGAAATATATATTTATTTCATGCACTCATACCATTCCATGCACACACGCATGCACGCACACGGACAACAAGCCGAGTGCAAACCGTAGGGTTGCACCAACAAACTCCCCCTCGGATTGTTGGCCTTAGGATATGTTGCTCTCTCAGTTC